TCAGAATTCTGGCGATGGTTCCCTCTGGTGGTGCACAAGAGGGTTGGCATCGCCCTCATTTACAACAACGCGGTACTTTGCGGGTTGTAAAAGAAAGTGTTACCTACATTATATATATATATATATATATATATATATATATATATATATATATATATATATAATCGAAAGTAATATCTTAAAACCATGCACATTTGAATTTTAATGAGAATGAGAATTAGTCAACAGGGCTCAACACTTAAGATTTTTTTCTACTGGCCTGGTGTGGCCAGAGGAAAAGATTTTTACTTGTCCTGCCAACTTTTTCTCTGGCCTACCAAAAAAATATAAAAGATAATTTTAAGCCATTAATTAAGATAAGTTTTTAACCACATGTTTAAAATTGTGTATCAAAAGAAGACAAATGTATAGTAGTTGTCCATATATTAACTCTTTTTATTCAGTAATATAACTTTTTTTAACAATTGATATTTTAATGAAGGTTGAAGGTTCCAGATTACCAGTTAACTATTCATAAATTGGGAGTCTTATTCAATTATACTTGAACCGTATTAGTAAAAAGAGTGTTACTGAACAGTACTTATATTGTTTTTTACCTTTACAAATTGTCAGTAGTCAGCACATGCTCTATTAGGGAGATTGTTAGTTGTATAAATCAAAAGCATCATGTTTTTTAGCACTGTGGTATGAGCTTGGTGAAATGATCTTTAATTTGATATTAATAATCTGTTATTGACTTATTAAAGTGAATGCTTGCAAAAAAAAAATTATCAGCAGAACTTTGGGTGTAATCAAGAGATTCTGGTGACTCATAAAATCAAGATGGAGAACAGGAAATAAAAAATATGAATGTGAGACATAAAGGAAATCTGCATTTTTTAAATTGATACTATAATACAAAGGAGAAATAAGTTTTCTACTGAACTGAAATATATTTTCTGCCATTGACGTAACAACTGTAAGCTACTCGCATGAAAAAACTATAGTAAAAATATGCTTTTGAACCATACTACAGTTTATTGCTAATATATATATATATATATATATATATATATATATATATATATATATATATATATATATGAATGAATATATATGAATTTGTTTTTCACGCTAATAATGTTATCTTTCAGACATCATCATCCTCATCATGATCATCATTGGTATTATTAATATTATGATTAAATTAGGATTTTTTTCATTTCCTAATATATAATAAAAAATACATTTTATAATAAATAGCCTCATTATTCATTTATTCATATGATTAATATATGAATATAGAATACGTGTTAGCTTTTGTAAGTGATTTGATTTAGTATATGTCACATTCTCAATAATATTAGTAAAGGAAACATTGGATCTATATGTGGCATTAATATATATGTCAGTTAATATAAAAAGCGAGTGCATGTTTTTGGCAAAACTAATATTTTTAGTATTTTTATTTTAAATGCGTGCTTGTAAAACAATATTATTTGCACAAATAAATGATGGGGTTCTTTTTTTAAAAAAGTAGTTTCTCCCCGTTTAAAATATATGGGCCTTTTACGCTATAACTAACGTGGTTCAAGAGATGGGTAAGCGACAGAGAATTTTGGGAAACATTCGTCACTAGTTCTTTCCCCAAACAATGCATCGTATGATAGTGCAGTGGTGAGTTGTTTGAGAAACGCAGCCCTGCTGGTGTGTTATGAATTGCATGTTTTAAATGACTGAGACATTTATTGGCGGTGTAACCATTAAGCTTAAATAGGCTGAGCATATTTTTATTAATATTAAAACACATTAATAAAAACTAGCCACCCTTTGATTTTTTTCGTTTCTGTATATTTTTATCAAACAAAAAATGCAATGAATTGTTTATTTTGGTTTTCATTTTATTAGAATAAATATAATTAGTAGGCGACACAACTTCTACACTGGCTCTTGCGTTTTTACATATCCTACAGAAAGACTTTTTTGGCTCAAAGACATATGCCTGTTAATTTAAGCGCTGTATTTTGACAGATTTCGCAAAAGCTTCAGCTATTCTACCTGTCAGCTGGTACCGTTTTGGGACTGTGTGGCGTCTGTATCAAGTGTCTGGATGACAGCGAGAGAGAACGAGATGAGATCAGACCCCAGATTCTAGTGTGGCCTCATGTCAAAGTTACTTTACTGCATTTTTTAAAAAATATTGACTCATCTAAATTAACTTTTCATTCGATTAAAAGCCGAAATATTGCCAGACAGACAAAGCAACTTTCTGTTCAGTGATAACATACGCACACACACAGAATACACTCCTGTCGGCCTATTCATTATTGATTTTTTAACAATAAACGCATAATAAACAAGTGCAAAAAAGAAGAGCTGAACTTCGGAAAAAGTAATTACTGCGGATGCCGCAATGGTTGCTTTGTTTCTCTGCAGTTGGCTAGGCTTATTAATGGCGCTGCATTGCTTCATCACTCGTTTTAATAAATAAGATTATTTATTATTTAAAATTGTAAGATGATGGTCGCGTGATTTTTAAAATGAGAGTATGCATTGCGGATTTATGGCTATTGATCTTATCTACCGGCGACCCACCCAGAGTTAAACATCAAGTAGGTGCGTTAAAGGTGCATGTACAAATTAGTTGTGTTGCCCCCAGATTCTGCAAATAAATCATATGAATAAATAAATACTAGGCGATTTATTATAAAATGAAATTTAATATTTATTATATATTAGGAAATTAAAAAATAATAATTTAATAATAATAATAATAATAATGATGACTATGATGATAATAACTATTATTTTTATTTTTGTGTATTAGAAATAATTTTTTTTAATAATAATATTAATTATGATAATGGAGATTCTTCTTCTTCTTGTTATTATTATTATTAATAATAATAATAATAATAATAAGTAGGGTATTGTTTATTTATTTTTAGAAAAGTCTACTTTTACAATTTGACACTTGTAAACCAGAGCAGAAAGTTCTAACCGGCAGGCCCGTGTCATACAGATATTTAATAAATAACCTATATAAATCAAAAGAATTCACGTATGCTTTTTGTTTTCACAAGCTTTGGAGATGTAACATAAATTCCGCTTTTAAATAATAGGTCACCTATAGCTTTAACTTAAGGCTATGTTCAAAATGACATCAGTGTTTTTAAAGTGCACTGCAAAGGGAGCACAACTGTAAATATGAAGATCGCTAAAACTAAACTGTAAATATAGGTAAAAAGCAAATTACACCTAAGAAAGATGATCTTAATGCTTTTTTATTTTTAATCATTCAATGTTTAAATGTTATATTGTTCTAAATTAATAGGGCATAGGGGATAAGTAAAAACTTAAAATTATTTCTGTCATTAATTACAAACTCTCCCGTCGTTCCAACCTTTAGAACACACATTTAAATATTTTAAAATATATGATATATATATATATATATATATATATATATATATATATATATATATATATATATATATATATATATATATATATATATATATATATAGCAATTAAATTATGAAAATTGTGAGATTAAAGCTAGTCCTATAGTCCAGAGATCCGGTCCCCGCGTCAGGTCAGGTGCGCCCGAAAATAAAACGTGGACACGGCGATGGAGGCGCACTCAACTCACAAGGGAGAAAAGTGGGTGACATGAGATGATCAGCTTAATTAATTACATGTTTTGGTCAAATAAATCTTTAAACACAACTCTCTTGAGCTCTAAAAGGAAGAAACGCAGAAGAAATTTGCTGTTAAATAAATTTTAGCAGAGACTCAACTGCCAGTCATTTTCACATTAGTTGTTCGGGAAGATGTAGCCTAATAAAATGTTTTAATAAAAATAAATAGTTCACTGCACAGTCCCACAGTAGGCTACACTATAAATAATATTTTAATTTATTCATTAATATTATTATTACTATGATTACAATTAAGCTAAAATTGACAACGCATAGCCCTTTGAATGTTTGCTTTCATTTTGACATTGCTAAAAAGCGCACTTTTACAGTTGTGTAGAGAAACATCCCATATGCAGCAGCAGTCTAGGTATAATAAATGCCTTTTGCATTTAAAGATGACCAGCCTGCGAAGTCAAGTTTGCAGTGTTATAAATGGAATAGGTATATAGTGTTTAAGTGCAATTACAGCGGATCAACCGAGAAACCTCTCACAATCTTTTAAAAATGTGTAATTAAGGCTATACTGCTCTTTGCTTATGCAAAATTAAACAACATTAAATATATTACAGCATATCGAATTTGTTTTGACTTGTAGCTCATGGTCTTAAAATAAAAATAACCTGAAAACAAGTTATTGGGTGGGTAAACTTGAAAACTTGGTCGTTGCTCTGTAGACTGATTTACGTAGCATATTTAAATGATTGTGTTAGTGTTATTGTGCAATTAGTGACATATGAAATGAACTGCAGTGATATTTAATAATAAAAATGCTTTGTATTACAAACTGCAGCATTGAGTGTGATTGGCTGGAGGAATGTGAAGGGAGCAAACTATTTCCTCAAGACATTTTAAACTACAGCTGAAACAGGGTTGGACTAAAATAAATTGAAGTTTATTGGAAAATAAATACCAAATTTTAAAGACCAATTTTAAGTGTTTAAAAATAGACAACAAAATACAGCAGCCATATGTAACATGTATTACATGTCTGAAAAGCTCCAGAAGTATATATTTCTGTTGCACTATATATATATATATATATATATATATATATATATATATATATATATATATATATATATATATATATTGTATTTAAAAACTGACATGCATTAACAGAATTGTTTTCTTAGGCTGTACTAAAAAACATAAAAAAAACTTTCATGTTCACAAATATTTTAAGTTCCAGTGGTTTGTGTGTTGTCTTGAAGACACACCCACAGTCAGGAGAATATGATAAATATTCATGTCAGCGCCACTAATATTTCAGGATATACCTGTAAATCACACATGTGTTATTTAGTGAACTGAAAGAGTGAAAGAGCTCAGATCGTGTTCCTGCTGCACAAGAGCGTCTGTACTTCTGCATGTGAGTTTAACACTTCTACATTACGCTGATTTGTGGAGATGATGAAGGGGTTTTATGTGTGAGTGTGATTTAAATGTCTGATCCTGAAGATCAAAGCCTCAAACTTTTGATTAAACAAACTTTTGATTTTTTTCAAAACAGTCATTTGAACTTTGTATCAAAAACACTTTAATTTCAATCCCGTGAAAATGTTTGTACTGTTCTATATCATGGTGACTTGATCATTTCAGATCATTCAGCACAAAACATAATTTTAAACACTGAGAGTTTCAAACTCGAAAGTAAAGTTAAACCAGATGTTCCAGTTGAACAGGAAGAAGCTCTCCTGAAAAACAAGCTGATGTTTCTTATACAATCTGCATTTAACCCTTAACTGTCAGCTTGACGCGCTTTTAGTACTAACTAAATAAATAAAAATATCATGACAAACTATTTAATCATCTTTTATAGGTTCAATACTGCTTTGAGTATTTTTAAGAGACCTCTCAGATTTAATCTCAAATACCTTTTATATCTTCTTGAAATATTCTATTAGCACACTTGTGTTTAGAGAAACAGTATGAATATTTTCAGCTGCAGTGGTTTTGGTTTGATGACTCGCCCACAGTCATTAATATTTCAGGATATACCTGCAGTAATGTTGTCAAATATATAGGTATTTTGATATGCACCAATACTGGATTATCTAAAACAATACAGTTTTGCTTTTGGTTGGTATCAATAGCTGCTTTAGTCTCTTGAGGGTTAATACACACTGCACATGAGCACATTCTATCAGTCCTGGAATGTAATCTGGTCGAAGTTTAAATGCCTGTAAGTCTTTTCTAGAGCTTCTGAAATCTTTGTTTTCTGCTCTGAATTTAATTTGACTCAAATTTTAAGTGACCATCAAATTAAGGCAAGGCAAGTTTATTTATATACCACATATCATACACTGGAAATTCAGAAAGACCAGTGAGGAGGCCGTTACAGTAATCCACCCTGCTGCTGATAAAAGCATGAACAATTTTCTCTAAGTCTTCACTGGAAACAAAGCATCTGATTCTTGCTATGTTTTTGAGATGATAGTATGCTGATTTACTGACTGCTTTGACATGACTGTTGAAACTCAGATCTGACTCCAGAGTCACACCAAGATTCTTGACCTTATTTTTTGTTGTTTGACCATTAATGCCAAGGTACACATTCACCTTGAGAACCTCATCTCTGTTCCCAAACACAATAATTTGAGTTTTCTCTTTGTTTAACTGAAGAAAGTTTTGGCACATCCAACTGTTAATTTCATCAATGCACTGGCAGAGGGTGTCAATGGGGCTGTAGTCATTAGGCAGTAAGGCTAGGTCAGGAGTGGGCAAACTCGATCCTGGAGGGCCGGAGACCTGCAAAGTTTAGCTCCAACACACCTGAACATGCTAATCAGTGTCTTCAAGATCACTTGAAGTTTATTAGCAGATAAGTGCGATAAGAGTTGGAGCTAAACTGTGCAGGACACCGGCCCTCCAGGATTGAGTTTGCCCACCCCTGGGTTAGGTAGATCTGTGTGTCATCAGCATAGCTGTGGTAAGAGATGTTGTTCTTTCTCATTATTTGGCTAACAGGAGAGGTGCCAGAATCGAGCCTTGTGGGACTGCACATGTCATGGGTGTCCACCTCGACCTGTGATCACCTATACTCACATGGTAACCTTTACCTTTAAGGTAAGATCTGAACCATTTGAGGACCGTGCCAGACAGCCCAACCCAGTTTTCCAGCCTATTCAGAAGTATGCTGTGATCGACAGTGTCAAATGCAGCACTGAGATCGAGCAATACCAACACTGTTATTTTACCTGAATCTGTATTTAGGCGTATATCATTGATTATCATTATAAGGGCGCTCTCTGTACTGTGATGTGCTTTGAAACCAGATTGAAAATTGTCTAAACACCCCCTGAAGTTTAAGAACTTGATAACCTGATTAAAAACAACTTTTTTAATGATTTTGCCAATAAAAGGAAAATTTAGACTATTTCTAATTATAAACAGGTCACATTTATTGTTTATGAATCAATTTACAGTTTTGATTTATATCTGCTCTCATACTCTTCAATTATACATTCAAATTGGTTCCAATCACCACTTAGAGCTTCATGTCCCGGGTTTACGTGTTTCTCACAGATTTCTCTTGTCAATGGGGATAGAAAAATTTGTCCTGTGATTCCTGTCCAGTCATATCGCACATAGAAGGTAAATCACATCATAATGAACTACCTCAAGACATGGGCGATTTAGAATAGCAGCGAACTGTTTGGAAACATTAAAAATGTCCAAGAAGAGGTCCAAAATCTTTACACGCATTGACTTAGAGCCTGTTTAGATGATGTCACTGATGAGAAGATGACGGATGTTTACTGTATGATGACCCAAATGGCCTTAAACACCCAGCCGTCACAAGACATTAACATGACGTCAGATTGATGTTTTATTCCAACGTTGTGGGGACGTTGCATTTTGTTTCCACCTCTGAATCCAATTCTCTCACACATCCTCCAGAACATTTCCCTAACCATAGTGCCGGCCCTAACCCACACCATAAACACTTTACTCCACTCATTCCCAACCATCTTTAAGCAGACCTGGGTAACCTCATTCCCCAAGCAGGCTCTAAATAATCATTTCTACTGAACCCGTCTGCTGCTTTTGATATGATGAATCGTAAGATTCTTCATCAGGTCTTCAGTGAGCCCAACTGGAGTGTAACACCTCTCTTTACCTCTCTGCATTGGTTACCAGTAGAGGATTGCATCAAGTTCAATTCAGTGATGCTCGCTTACAGGACAGCCACTGGCACTGCATCCTCTTACCTCCACCTGCTGCTGAAGGTCTACATACCATCCAGGGGCTTTTGGTTAGTGAGAAAGCATTTCCTTGTGGTACCATCACAAAGAGTCTACAAGTCACTTTACAAAACATTACCGATGGAATGATCTTCCCATTCCCACAAAGTCTGCTGATTCACTGGTATTAAAACAGGTAAAAACACATCTCTTCCGAGATCACCTTGTAGGGTCCAGCCAGTTGGTCCAATGACGGTATCCACTGGTGGATGAAGGTTCACTGCATGGTCTTTCCAGTGCACAATGTTGATTTATATTAAACTTAACTCATATCTGACTCCAATTTTAGTATGAGGTTGTTTAGAATATTAATATATTTATCCTCGTTTTATCTGACTCCAATTATAAAACATTGAGAAGATTATTTTGTTTCCTTTCACATTATTTTAGATTATGATTGAATATTCTTTCGTATTGCAAATGTCACTAGCTTTCGTTCAATACCAGACATCATACATTTCAGACACATACAGATTATTTTTCTCTGTTATAAGGGTTAAAACAACACATTGATTAACCTGGTTGATTGGAATAAACAGCATATGAGGAACATTATGGCATATTATTCAAAGATACATCTGCCTTAGTTCTAACATTAAGAGATTAGCTTTTGTTCATATGCAGTAATGTTTCTAGAGATCTCTTTGTCTCTACGAAATTGTGCTTCTAGCAGGATGTGCCCAAGGCGAGCACATGACCAGGAGTCAATCAAAAGTCTCGTGAAATGGTTTCCGCTGAAGATCCTGTAAGGGCCATTGTGTTTTAATTTAACTGATTTAATTAATCATTGGCTAGTTAGCCGAAGGGTACCAGAACATCTGCGGAGAAGTACTGGTCAGAGGAGCCCAAAATCAATTGGCGCTCTGTTATCCTGATGGTATAAGCCCTCAAGCTAGTTCAATGAATGAGACCATTGGAGATGCCCAAGATTTCAGATTCAACTTGTGTTGACCACTGAAAAATGCCGATGAGTTCCTACAGTTATTATACCTTATTCTCATTTATTCAGATTCCCATAGTGTTTCGAGTATTGCACCGGCCGGGTATACAATCTCTTAATACAAGCTTGTCAGTCTTATTCATTAAACAGAGTTGATTAACCACTCTGCTAAAAAGGCAGAACCCTACATTACTCAATTTAGGAGATTTTTATGTGGTCCCCATAGATCTGTTATCTACTTAATCAAGACAAAGTATTTTAATAATAATCGCACAGGATTATAAGTTTGTAGATGAAGGCCTAAATACCCACATTTAGATTAGTTTTAACAATATTTTGTTGTTCTAAATAAAAAACTCATAGTTGGCCTTTTACAGTCTAAGTATACTTGAATTAATGCCAATATGTTAGTCAGATCTCTAACAACATTGTATAGCGTGCCACGCTGCTCCGTCTAACATGTTTTAGTCCGTTACTAACCTGTACAGTGGCTTGTAGTGCTATGAACAACAACATTTACCAGTGATAATAACACGAGGATTGAATAATTCAAAACTTAATTTATTAGTCAGGTAAATGTATTATGCCAATTCAATAATTTAATTCATAAACGATCAATACAAAACATCAAATTATCAAAGACAAATCCAAGATGAAAAGATGCATACCTGACTTCAAAATATAGGCTGATCTGGGTAAGCAGAATCGCCCTGAGCCTTTCTCAAACCTTACCTTAAATAATCCAAGAATTCCCTCAAGGAAGGGGGTGTGTGCATAACAAAAGGCATTTGCATTTAGTGCTGCCTGTGGAAAAGTCACACCCTTCACAGTGGTTCAAAAGATGCCTGAAGTCTATTTCTGAGAGAATGAGACCATTGTACCAATCGCACTGAGACATTTCAAATGATATGAAACATGATAGATAAAGTCACTTTGGTTAATCTAGAACATTCAAACATTGAAATGACCATATGTGTGAGTTGACGTGGTTGAAGCCGAGTTTCAGCAGACTCAGATGCAAATGCAGCAGGAACTGGTTTTTCCCACATTCCCACCTGCTGGGTTGTGGTCAACAGTCTCTGTTTTCAGCTCATGTTTTGAATTGTCAAAGACATTAAAAATATTTGTAATATTTCAATTCTTATAACCTGAACAAAAAATTAGGCCCTCCTATTCTCTTCCCACTTCACCACACAACAACCCCAAAACATTATCAATTTTGAGTGTGCCTCACACAGGTGAGTGGGCTGTATAAACCACCTATAGAAAACACACTCTTTTATCTCTCTGACACTTTATCAAACACTTGCACCAGCAAATTTGCACCAGACACGTTCCTGTAATAACTCCATATAAAAACATGCATTTAAGAAGTGGTGAGAGGGCTTGACAAACCATCTGTAGAAACACTCCTCTCTTTATAGAAAAAAAAAGAACCTCCAAACTCTAACTAGCACTTACTTCTTTGAGCACTAACAGTTCCTATGTATAAATATCACTTCTGGTGTGTATTGCCTTTTATTGTTGAATCGCTGAATGCCTCCTTGATTGTAAGTAACATGGGACAAAAAGGTCTGCTTATTGCACTGTAAATGTATGCTACTTATACACAAAACTGACAGGCTCTGCTTATGTTTTTACTCATCTTCCTAACTAGATTTTTGGCTGAAAGACATTTATACCCGTTACTTCCAGTGCTGTATTTTGACAGATTTCGCAAAGGCTTTAGTTCTTTTAATTGTCGGCTGGTACTAGCTTCAGTTTTGCAACTTGTGTGGAACAACACTTGTGGTGTCTGTGCTATAATGGCTGGAAGACAGCAATAGTGAGACGGACTTATGGCCTGTTGGCATAGATAAGATTTACGTGAAGTTTATTTATGAACTAATTCTGCGAGGATCACATGAATATGATTGTTTAAGGCTCAATTATCATCAATTATCAATCATCAGCTAAATGTGAGCTCATGAACTCTTGGAAATGATGATGGGATTTTTTTGATCCTGAAGTTGTCAGTCTCAAATACCATTTAAACACAATGTCAAGTATACTTTTTAATTTATTGAAAATATTTGTACTTTTCTATATCAGTCTGACTTGAGTGTTTCAGATCATTTGAAAAAAAAAAACTCCTAACACAGAGTCTTGAACTCGAAAGTAAAGTTAAAGCAGACCTTCCAGTTGATCAGGAAGAAAACTGCAAAAAACAACAACAACAACAACAAGCTTATGTTCCTTAAACAAACTACATTTAACCCTTAACTGCCAGCTGATGAATTTTATTAAATTAATTAATAAAAAATAAAATCAATTATTAAAAATTGGCTACCACTTGAAGTTATCTTGACAGACTAAATAATATTATATATATATTTTTTTTACTTCTTGAAATATTCTATTAACAAACTAACTTGTTTGTTGTCTCGAGGACAGACAGAAGAATCTCATGAGTATTCATGTCAGTTGCTTGCTGCAGAAGTAAAAAAAGATGTTTAACCTGTTCTTTCCTGTGTAAAGTCTACTTTATCACTGAAAAAAACATCACTACTAATTTGCGTAGGGACATTTTCTTCAGAAAACAACCATTTGCTAGTTTAGCAACAGTGTTAAATAAGAACCTTAAAATAAGATTTTGGAGCCTTCCTATAGCTGGACATACTATCTTTGTATGCAATTCTGCAGACCTCTAATTTAGCCTTAAGGGTACGAGTTGCTGTATTGAGAGTTTAAGTATAATTGTTATACCATGGTGTAGTTTTCTTCTCTCTAGCCTTTTCTGATTTGATGGGTGCCACAGTGTTTAATGTGTTGGTAAAGATAGCATACATACTGCTTGTTACTACAACATGGTCATTTTGCATTAGAAATAGAGAAAAATCAGGTAAGTTATTCATAAATTTGTCTTTAGTGGACGGGACGATAGTTTCACCTGGGTGATATATCTGTTCAGATCTGCTCGTTTCAGGTATGCATAGATTATAAAATAAGAGGTAGTTGCCCTAGATGTGGCTTGAAACCAGCTTATTTTAGTCACATGTTTTGGGTGTGCCGTAGACTGGATCATGTGGAGTGCTTTGAATGATGTTAAATAATGAAAACTATGTAAGTGTTCTATCCCTCATTATGTAATCTCCAGGTGATGGTCAGCGGCTGATTGTTTCCTCAAAGCTCTGCTAATGGCTGCATTGATGTTTTAGCTGCAGTATGGCAGAGGAGCGAGTAAAAGACTCTCTCTCAGAGAAACACAGGTATTGACTCTGTTTTTACATCATTATTTCAACACTTTCTCTGATGAACATACACCAACAACAATGCACTTATTTGTGTTGCTAAGTCCTGTACAACTTTATTCTGGCAACCTGCTTATGTGAGTCATCATCAGAGGGGTCAACTAAAAAAAAAAAAAAAAAAAAATCTCCAATATTTTGAATTTGGACTGCAATACCTAGTTCCACCACTATTCATATGTCAATCCTACATACTGCACCTTTAAAGGAGACTGAAGTTTGTCCTGCAGTTTATTCCTCTGGTGTGTTTGTGTGTTCAGTGTGAGATCTGGATCATGTGTGTCCAGCTCTGTGTCTCTGAAGAGTGACTGGTCAAAAGAAGATCCACCAAAATTCAGCGAAAAAACACCATCATCTGCTCAAAGGTATTTTGTGCTTTACATTACTGCTCACATATGGACTGTTTGTTTAATGTTAAAAATATGCATAAATGTATAGTAGTTCAGTGAGAAAACAACATCATCTGGCCAGAGGTATTTTGTGTTATTTTGTGCTTCACATTATTGCTCACACATGGACTGTTTGCCAAAATTTCAGTATTCATCATGAGATTTTATTGCTGTAAAATTATTAATATGTGTATCCACTTAATTCTTACACATTTCTACTTTTTATATGATACCTTGAAAAATCTGGATATTCAGTACCATTTTCTAATAGTATGGTCTTGGGTGACGTCGTGTTATTGTTGGGGGTGTGGCCTGGGGGTGGATTTGGTGTGGGGGAAAACAATTCTTCTTCCTCTGCTGCAAATGTATAGCAATAATTCAGAGTTGTTGTGAAAATTGTGCTATCTCATCTTTCAAATTGTTACCTGACTGCCTTATCTAAGCCATTTCTCCTTTAAATAATAAACATACCACACAGTCATCTACCTAATGATCTTTATTCTGGTGAATGAGTTGAGGCATAATCTTTTGGTAGTACACAGACTTCTGTACATTCAACATAGAGCAGTTCAGTTTGCATCTAATGCATTAACAGTTGTTCTGTTGAAAGTGATGAAAAGACCAAATTCATATATTCATATTCCTGTGGTGTGTTTGTGTGTTCAGTGTGAGATCAGGATCATGTGTGTCCAGCTCTGTGTCTCTGAAGAGTGACCGGTCTAAAGAACATCCTCTACCAAACTTCAGAGAGAAAACACCATCATCTGCTCAAAGGTATTTTGTGCTTCACATTACTACTCACATATGAACTGTTTGTTTAATGTTAAAAATATGCATATATGTATAGTAGTTTGTGCTTATATATTTTACGTATGACAATTAAAGTTTTTTAATTCAGCATAAACTGGGCAACAAAGATAGATGTGTATGCTTGCATAAAAAAGATAATGCATGAACTATGGAAATAAAAGTGACAGAAACAAAGCCAAAATACATACTAAATATTTAATGTCATAAATACTATTGCTGAAATAGAATACAGGTGCTGCTCATATAATTAGAATATCATCAAAAGTTCATTTATTTCACTAACTCCATTTAAGAAGTGAAACTTGTATAATGTACACATTTATTCCACAAAGACTGACATATTTCAAGTGTTTATTTATTTTCTTTTTGATTACACATAATAAACAAACCCAAATTATTTAACTTCTATACCAATACAAAGAAAAGATTTTTTGAAATCTTGATGAACAGTATGAGCATGCACAGTACTCAATACTAAGTGTGGGCTCCTTTAGCCTGAATGACTGCAGCTATTCGGTTTGGCACAGAGTGGATCAGTCTGTGTTATGCACTGCTTAGGTGTTCTGAGAGTCCGGGTTGTTCTGATAGTGGCCTTTAGCTCTTCTGCATTGTTGGCTCTGGCATATCACATCTTTCTCTTTACAATACCCCATAGATTTTCAACGAGGTTAAGGTCAGGTGAGTTTGGTGGCCAATTGAGAACAGGGATACCATGGTCCTTGAACCAGTTACTGGTAGCTTTGGCACTGTGCGCAGGTGTCATGTCCTGTTGGAAAATGAAATCTGCATCTCCATAGAGCTGCTCAGCAGCAGGAAGCATGAAGTACTCTTAAATGTCCTGGTATAGAGCTGCATTGACCTTGGAACTCAGAAAACACAGTGGAGCAACACCAGTAGATGACATGGCACTCCAAACCATCACTGACTGTGGAAACTTTACACTGGACCTCAAGCAACCCCTGTGGATTGTGTGCCACTCCTCTCTTTCTCCAGACTCTGGAACCCTGGTTTTCAAAGGAAATGCTAAATTTACCCCAGGCAAGACACATCCGACGCTGTCTGTTGTTCGAGAGTGGCTTGACAATGAGAAATGCAACAGCTGAAACCAACGTTTTGCAGATGTCTGTGCGTAGGGGTTCTTGAAGCACTGGCTCCAGCTGCAGTTTCTCTCCAGGCTGTGGTTATCCCTATTGCTTCACATTTTTGTACATCTGTTCTTTCCCCTCACCTCTCTATTAATGTGCCTGGACACAGAGCTCTCTGAACAGCCAGCCTCTTTTGCAATGACGTTTTGTGTCTTGCCCTCTGTGTGCAAGGTGTCAATGGTTACCTTTTTTACAACTGTCAAATCAGCCGTCTCCCCTATGATTGTGTAGCCTACAGAACTAGACTGAGAGACCATTTAAAGGGCTTTGCAGGGGTTTTGGGTTAATTGGCTGATTACAGTGTGGAACCAAGTGTTTTCAATGATGAACCTTTTCACAATATTCTCATTTTCTGAGATACTGAATTTGGTGTTTGGTGGACAGTTCATTTTCACAATCATCAGGCACAACTCAGTTATTAGAGAAGAAAAAACACCACAGTGGTAAACCCCAATGCACTCAACTACATTTTTCTGTCTGATATTTGTGCAATTCTAGCAGGAAGAGTGAAGATTTTGCTCACTTTGACTGATTGGATGGAAACACTGCTTTATTTGCGCATATTTTTATGCTATATTCCAGGGTTACTCATAAGTCTAGGTCGCATCTTTGGATAGAAAGTAGAGCTGTAACGATACACCAAACCCACAATTCGGTTCGTATCACGATTTTTGACCCACGATTCGATTCGTATCACAATTTTTTATTTATTTATTTATTTATTTTTTGTGGGGGGTGGGAAAAAAAAGATTTGTAAAACTTTTTTTTTAATAAATAACATTTGAAAAATCTTTTTAAACTGAACATCAAAGAACAATATTAACTATGCAAATTATTAATAATATAAATAGCCATGTATAAAATAAATAAATAGCCAAAGCTATATCACTGTTTTCTTTGTAACAAAATACTGTCGAAAAACCAAACAGAACTAAACTCCATTGTGTAGATGGTTCAAGCATGTTGAAAATTATTTTTCAATCAAGTTCTCTTACATAGAACAAGTAAATTAAATGGCTACTAGGGATGCTCATTTCGTTAATTTTGCTAAATGACAACCACCGCTCATTAATCGCTTATTAAGGGTTAATTGGTCAGATTACTATTAATTTTATATTAAATAAATTGACGTGTCTATTTTTTGTCTGACACATTAAATATTGCATTTCAAAATACTGATTTATTTTTATATTTATATATTAATAACAGAACAGAAAAACAGAGCATCTTCACGCACCTGCAGTGTTAAGCACAGAAGAGCAGAATAAATAAAATGAATAAAATAAATAGGACTGCCCTAAATTATTTTCACTTAAATAATTAATTTATATTACAAAACAAAAATACTGACTGATTCTTCTTAACAACCGACATAGGCTGTTTTTTTCCAATCATGTTTTTTCTTCCGTCAAATAAAAATAGCTGACTTAAATTGCTCGCTTCACGGAAAATATGCATTTATTGGCAAATGTGTCTGTAGGCACAATAATCCGTTATCGTCCTGCAAATTAAGTAGGCCTATGCCTTGCAGTTGAACAAGGGGCCGAAAATAAGGCGCATCTCACTGCCTTTATGTTGACAAGGAAAAAAGAAGAGGCGCGGTCCTCTTATGAAACGACTGAATCAGCTGGGTATCGATTGTGCAAAAGTGTTGCTGTTTGTGTTGTTACAATTGTAATATTTAATACTATTGTAATATTCAAGATTTGTACATTCATACAGCTCTGGATAACTTAAAACAGCGATTAGACCTTCAGAGCGGCATTAATGCGTCCTGAAGTAAAGCGAAACGGCTATAAACTCCAGCAAGATAGAGTGATTATATGCAGAGCCATATACCTTTATCTCTAAATAAAGTATAACTATAGAAACTGTGTTCATCTTAACTGAAAGCTTCGTCGTGTTTCCTGACCTCACGCATCGCGCACCTGTCAGTCAGCACTTCCAAAGGTTCAAACAGAAAGAGCACAGCACGGTTACAGAAAAGTGCCTGTGCTGCAAACCACAAGTCAAGTAAACATTAAACAAATAAAAAACTTATTTCTTTCAAGAATACCTGTCATGTTCACCAGCGAACAACACCAGATGTCGCTGGCAAACACACATACACTTAGAACTACACTTTTCCTGGACTACAACTTCATACATGCTCTTCGCCCACACACCTGCTCATTCATCTAGCTTGATTACATTTGCACACCTGAGGACTTTCAGAGACTGATTAACACACACTATTTAAGCCACACATTCACCCCTTCAGTTTGCCGAGTCTTGTTTATCTGTAAGGTGACATTACAACGCGTTATCCTGGTCTTGTTTTCCCGTGTTTTGTTCTTAGTCCTGTTTATCCTTGTCATCCTGTTTAGCCGCCTGCCTTACGACCTATTGCCTGTTTACTGACTACGATTCTGGATTGTCTACATATATCTGTTTGCTCCCGTATTGACCACTGCTTGCCTGACTGTGAATAAAACCTGCATATTGGATCCTACCTTCTGTTGTTGGTGTCACTCCCCGGCGTTACAGAAGACTCGGCCACAACATGGATCCAGTGGGTATTGCAATCATGCGTCTGCGTCAGGAAGCACGGTCCATTGAGGAGTACGTGGAGGAATTCATCGAACTGGCACACATAACATCCATGAGTGAGTTATGTTTGATGATATTCTTTCGTGGAGGACTTTCTGAGCCCCTATATTCCACAATGCCTTTGCATGACCCCCACGGGACTCTAGAAGGTTATATTGATCTTGCACTTCAAATGAGTGGGTCCCCCTTCACTGTAGGAGAGGTGGAGGACACCCCTAAATATTTTTGGGGGGGGGGCAAAGGACAGCAAGACCCGCTGGCAACGGGGCTTGCTGCTCATTCCATCACCACACTCCCAGCTTACAAGATGGCCGACTCCAGTCCTCCAGCTCACAAGATGGCCGACTCCAGTCCTCCAGCTCACAAGATGGCCGACTCCAGTCCTCCAGCTCACAAGATGGCCGACTCCAGTCCTCCAGCTCACAAGATGGCCAACTCCAGTCCTCCAGCTCACAAGATGGCCAACTCCAGTCCTCCAGCTCACAAGATGGCCGACTCCAGTCCTCCAGCTCACAAGATGGCCGACTCCAGTCCTCCAGCTCACAAGATGGCCGACTCCAGTCCTCCAGCTCACAAGATGGCCGACTCCAGTCCTCCAGCTCACAAGATGGACGACTCCAGTCCTCCAGCTCACAAGATGGCCGACTCCAGTCCTCCAGCTCACAAGATGGCCGACTCCAGTCCTCCAGCTCACAAGATGGCAGACTCCAGTCCTCCAGCTCACAAGATGGCCGACTCCAGTCCTCCAGCTCACAATGTGGTCACAACCAGCCCTCCAGCTCACAATGTGGTAAGCGCCAATCTGCCACCTGCTCACAAGATGGTTTCCTGTTCCTTGTCCGTTCCTGCCATAGTTCCTGTTTCAGTTCCTGAAATACCATCACCTGAGCCACCAGAATGGCCACCACCACCTGAGTTACAAGAGCTGATGCCACCACCAGAACTGTTACTGCCAGAGCTGCCACCACCAGAGCTGTTACTGCCAGAGCTGCCACTGCCACCTCCAGAGCTGCCACTGCCACCTCCAGTGCTGCCAGACCCTCCAGTGCTGCCAGACCATCCAGTGCTGTCAGACCCTCCAGAGCTGCCACCGCCACCTCCAGTGCTGCCAGACCCTCCAGTGCTGCCAGATCCTCCAGTGCTGCCAGACCCTCCAGTGCTGCCAGATCCTCCAGTGCTGCCAGACCCTCCAGTGCTGCCAGACCCTCCAGAGCTGCCAGACCCTCCAGAGCTGCCAGACCCTCCAGAGCTGCCAGACCCTCCAGAGCTGCCAGACCCTCCAGAGCTGCCAGACCTTCCAGAGCCGCTGCCACCTGAACCTCCTGAATGGCCGCCGCCTCCTGAGCTCCCTGAATGGCCGCCGCCTCCTGAGCTTCCTGAATGGCCGCCGCCTCCTGAGCTTCCTGAATGGCCGCCGCCACCTGAGCTTCCTGAATGGCCGCCGCCACCTGAGCTTCCTGAATGGCCGCCGCCACCTGAGCTTCCTGAATGGCCGCCGCCACCTGAGCTTCCTGAATGGCCGCCATCACCTGAGCTTCCTGAATGGCCGCCGCCACCTGAGCTTCCTGAATGGCCGCCGCCACCTGAGCTTCCTGAATGGCCGCCGCCACCTGAGCTCCCTGAATGGTCGCCTCCTAAGCTTCCTCAATGGCCACAGCCTCATGATCCAGGGCCAATGCAGCTCCACGCTCCAGGCCCTCCGCTGCTCCACGCTCCAGGCCCTCCGCAGCTCCACGCTCCAGGCCCTCCGCAGCTCCACGCTCCAGGCCCTCCGCAGCTCCACGCTCCAGGCCCTCCGCAGCTCCATGCTCCAGTCCTGCCCCCGCTGCATGGTCCTGGCCCTCCATCCCTCCCCCAGTTCGGCCTCCGCTCCACCTCCCGCCTGAACAGTATTAGGAGTGTCTGGAAGCCACTCCTTAGAGGGGGGGCTCTGTCATGTTCACCAGCGAACAACACCAGATGTCGCTGGCAAACACACATACACTTAGAACTACACTTTTCCTGGACTACAACTTCATACATGCTCTTCGCCCACACACCTGCTCACTCATCTAGCTTGATTACATTTGCACACCTGAGGACTTTCAGAGACTGATTAACACACACTATTTAAGCCACACATTCACCCCTTCAGTTTGCCGAGTCTTGTTTATCTGTAAGGTGACATTACAACGCGTTATCCTGGTCTTGTTTTCCCGTGTTTTGTTCTTAGTCCTGTTTATCCTTGTCATCCTGTTTAGCCGCCTGCCTTACGACCTATTGCCTGTTTACTGACTACGATTCTGGATTGTCTACATATATCTGTTTGCTCCCGTATTGACCACTGCTTGCCTGACTGTGAATAAAACCTGCATATTGGATCCTACCTTCTGTTGTTGGTGTCACTCCCCGGCGTTACAATACCAAACTCGTTTGATTTAAGGGAGTTGAAAATTCTTCAGAAACACCATGTCAACATTGCAGTGAAAAAACGTGACAACTTTCCTTACTCTGCGGAGTCGGGGCATCTGGTAAACGCCCACCCCTCTCTTCGCAGCCACATTAACAGTGTGAGCAAAGCATGGTAGCGGTGAAAACCCGGCCGCTTTGACAGCATTGGCAATGTCTCTGCTGTTGTCTGTTGTCAAGAGGGGTTAAGTTGGTTTTGTTTTTGATATTCCTGACACATTCAGAAGGTCCCTTACTAAGAGCTCCGTGCGAGCTCTCCCGCGGCTAAACGCAGATTGCGTGGGCTTAAATGGAGCAGTGCTCGAAATGTCGAATGAAAAAAAGTGTTTCCTCACGTTCTTCTTAAACTACCTCAACTTTTGCAGGCACGCGTGACGTTATTGTTAAGGCAGTCACGGGGTGTCGCGATTCTCCCTTATCACACCACGACACAGGATCGTAGATCTGAGTTTTGCGATTTCGATTTCATATCGTGTATCGTTACAGCCCTAATAGAAACACACCCAATGACAAAGCTACTAGTCTGTTTAGCAGACCTGATCAACCAGACCTAGAGCTAAGAATTATCTTGTGCTTAATTAAAAAAAAATTGGCTGCATTTAAGGAATTAAATCTTCTAAAATTGAAAAATAATATGTTTTTTTTGCAGATATATAAGAAACGTGCTAAGTGGACATACTTGTTTATCTGAAAAACAATGTGCAAGTCAGTTAATGGTCTAGCATATGGTCCATGTAACTGCCAGTTTATCCAATTTTAGTTCAGCATACTGGGTTACTTTGATGAAAAACTAATAATTTCAGCCATGAAGCAAATTATATAAATATTGCAAAGTAAACAATATCTGAGTAGCTTACAGTGAAAGCCTAAGCCTAAAGCTTATACTTCTGTGTCAAGTGACCACCATGACCCACGGTCCCTGCCTTGCACATAGCCGTGCATTTATACTCCTGCATGCTGTTTGTGTTGCTCTGCAATAACACTTCTGAAATGCTTTTTTTTAAAAAAAGTTTTTATGTTCTTCTGGATCGTGTTTCTTTATGGATGTTTTTTTTTATTCTGAACGCTACCTTAATGTACAAGTAGCTCAAACTCAATGCGTCATCAAGACATCACGAGGTGCGCATCTGTCACGCTCCTTGAAAAAGCAACAACAAAAAGGATCCAAGATACAAGGTCTTTAATGACTGGTGAGTGACAGACAGTTCAAACAAAAATAGACAGAAGCAGAAAAATAGATGCGGAGCTGTAAAGAAGAATGATGAAGTACAGATCAGTGTAGCTCTCAGGAACATCTGGCAGACCCGATAAACCTGACGTGTCCTGACGAGACACAAAACACAATGAACCATAACTAACTGACAAGATACAAAGAACACCACACACATGTGTAGGACAGATAATTATCTCCAGCTGAAACTAATGATCAGCACAGCTGATCAGGGGCAAAACAAAACCACATGACACACCAGGAAGTACGCACAACCTGCAACCGTGACAGCATCAGCGTCGGCATCAGCCACGGTGAGGGGTATGCAACCACATGAAGGCTGCTCCGGACCATACACATGTGCTTGACACAGAAGTATAAATCACCCTTTAGGCACACTCGCTTGTGTTTGTGTCTTCAATCTGGCAACCTGCTATTCTCCAATATTTTGAATTAGAACTCCAATACCTAGTTCAACCACTAGTAATAGGTCAATTCTACACACTGCAGTTTTACAAATGGACTGTATTGAACATAATATGGTTTAACTGCAAATTTAAAATTCATTATTTACTCACCTTCATGACATTTTTAAACCTGTATACATTTCTCAAATTTGTGGAAAATAAGCTATTGGAAAATAACTGTACTGTATTGCAGTTTAAAGGTTTGTAAAAATAAACTTCAAATTAAATATTTCTTTCTAAAATATTTCCATCTAAAAAAAGTTTTCTTTTTTTTTTTTTTAAATATGTAACAAATTACACAAGTAACAAATCTGTCCACTGTGCCTTATTATGAGCACTACAGAACATTTATTATTTTCAGTGTTTGTAAGATATGTCTGTATGTGTTTGCCTCTAAATGTATTATTACACTAGTTTTATCTGTTTACAGTGTTGAACATGAGTTACCAGATTCAGGACAGGAGACTCACAGGAACCACAAGAGTTTCACAGACAATCTCCAGTCGATCTTCCAGGTGGAAAAAAACTTATTTTGAATCATAATTAAAATTCTTATTATTACAGACAAAATGGTAATTGAAAAAGATCCTGCTTCTGAAACACATTTAATTTTTCTTGACATTTACTTTTAAGAATTAAAATGTATTTGTTTAGTAAGGCATAATTGACTTATTAATTTAGAGTCTATTATTCCATCTCACCATGTTAGCTTTTTGTCCTAAAACTGCTCCGGTGTGTAAGAAAGCTTCTCACACATCTTACCCAAAGCCTTCTGTTGTGTTTTGATGTGATTTTTGGCTGTTATCTGTGAAATATCTGAAATCATTTAGTTTAGTGATATGGAAGTGTAATCTGCTTGAAACCTGTCTGGATGTACTTTTGTTGTGTGTTTATCTGAAAATAACCTTTGAATATTTGCCAGTTAATCAGAGTTCAAGGGTTCAACAAACATAGTATAATGTATTATAATAAATGTACAATTTTTGAGGATGTACAGCTGTGTGTGAATGAATGTTTTCTTCACTCATAGAATCTTGAGAGCAAAATGTTCAGATTTCTGAAGAATGAAATGGAAAAGTTTAAAAAAATCTTACAAGAAGAAAACAGACAAGAGTTTGTAAAGGACTATAATGAGAACAGAAGCAGAATCACAGAAGCAGCTCTTGATCTCACACTCTTTTTCCTTAGAGAGATAAAGCAAGATCAAGCTGCTGATACTCTCCAGGGTAAGAGACTCATGGCCATGTGTCAGACTGGCACTTACAAATATGTAAATATATAAGGTGGAAAAGTCAAGACTAAATCTCTCTCTTTCTTTGCTCCTGTGTTTAGATGAGCTGTTCTCCATCAATCAGTTTCAATGTAGCCTGAAGAAGAAATATCAAAGTGTGTTTGAAGGAATTGCTCAGCAAGGAGACTCCACACTTCTGAATAACATCTACACAGATCTCTATATCACTCAGGGTGCGAGTGAACAGGTCAACAATGAACATGAGATCAGACAGCTTGAAGCTGCTTCCAGACGTCATCAGTCACTAGAGACACAGGTTGAATGCAAACATTTGTTTGAAGCAGCTGAACAAGATGAGCAGATCAGAACTGTCCTGACAAAAGGAGTTGCTGGCATCGGGAAATCAGTCTCTGTGCAAAAGTTTGTTCTGGATTGGGCTGAAGGAAAAGAAAATCAAGACATCAGCTTCATATTTCCTCTTCCATTCAGAGAGATGAATTTAAAGGAGAAAGAAAGACAAAGTTTAAAAGACCTCATAACTCAGTTTTTCCCAGAGACTAAAGGACTGAACCTTACAAGAAGCACACGATTCAAAGTCCTGTTCATCCTTGATGGATTGGATGAATGTCGTCTTCCTCTGAACTTTGCTGGTAATAAGACTTGTCGTGATGTATCTTCAGCAGTCTCTCTGGATGTTCTCCTGACAAACCTCATCAAGGGAAACCTGCTTCCTTCTGCTCTCATCTGGATCACCAGCAGACCAGCAGCTGCCAATAAGATTCCTGCTGACTGTATCGACCGGCTGACAGAGATACGAGGATTCAATGATGCCCAAAAGGAGGAGTACTTCAGAAAGAGACTCACAGATCAGAATCAGGCCAGAGAAATCATTGATCACATTAAACAGTCAAAGATTCTCTTTATTATGTGCCACATCCCAGTTTTCTGCTGGATTTCAGCCACTGTTCTCCAGAACATACTGAAACTGAAACACAGGGCTCATGCTGAAACACTGCAGGAATCACCCAAGACTCTGACACAGATGTACACACACTTTCTCCGCTTTCAGATCCAGCAGAGCAGAAGAAAGTATGATGGAGAAAACACAGCTGATGTCTCCTGGGATCCAAAGCTCATCCTTTCACTGGGGAAACTGGCCTTCCAGCAGCTAGAAAGAAACAATGTGATCTTCTATGAGAGCGATCTGAAAGACTGTGGCATTGACGTCTATAAGGCATCGGTGTACTCAGGCATGTGTACCCAGATCTTTAAAAAGGAGACAGGAATCATTCTTGGTACCATGTACTGCTTTCTTCACTTGAGCATTCAGGAGTTCATTGCAGCCCTTTATCAACATCTAATTCTAGACAACAACAAGAAACAAGCTGAAAAAAGCAGAAATGAGTCCATGATTAACTTGCTGAAGACTGCAGTGGACAAGGCTCTGGAAAATGAGAATGGACATCTGGACCTTTACCTTCGCTTCCTTCTCGGTCTGTCACTCCAGTCCAATCGACAACTCTTACGAGGCCTGTTGACACAGCAGGATGACAGAGACGAGAGCAAAAAGAAAATAATTGCCTACATCAAGCAGAAACTTGAAGGGAATCTGTCTCCAGAGAGATCCATAAATCTGTTCTACTGTCTGAATGAACTGAATGACCAAACTCTGCTGAAAGAGATTCAGTCTCACCTCAGTAGAGGAAGTCTGTCATCTGCTCGCCTTTCACCTGCCCAGTGGTCTGCTCTGGTCTTTATGTTGTTGACCTCAGAGGAGGAGCTGGAGGAGTTTGAGCTTCGGAAATTCCAGAGATCAGACGAGTGTCTCATCAGACTATCAGCAGTCATCAAAACCTCCAAAAAAGCTCTGTAAGTCAAAGTCCTTTCATCTAACAAATTAAACATTTACTGATAATACATAACACAATATATCATTTTAATGAACACCCACAATATTAAATATTGTTGGCACTTCAAAATACAGTGAATAATTGTTTATATTTTAATATTTCAGATTGTTTTTAATAACATTCAAATGAATGTATTGGCAGTGGTTGTTTAAGTGATAGTTTACCCAAAAATGTAAATTTACTCGTTTACTCAACCTCAAGTGGTAATAAACCTTTCTAAGGCCCGGTTTACACTAATGCATTTTAGTTTGAAAACACATACGTTTTGCTACTGTTATGCCATCCATCCAGACTTCACTACACTACTCTTGCAGTGGGGCATAATAATAGCGTGTATGTCTCCCGTAGTAGCTGTCACTGCTCTTGCAGTGGTGCATAATTATAAGGTGTACGTCTCCCGTAGGAGCGGTCACTGCGCTAGCAGTGGTGCAAAATAAGGTGTGCGTCTCATGTAGGAGCGGTCACTGCACTAGCAGGGGTGCAAAATAAGGTGAACGTCTTCTGTAGGAGCGTTCCCTTACTAGCAGTGGTGCAAAAAAAGGTGTACGTCTCCTGTAGGAGCGGTCACTGCACTAGCAGTGGTGCAAAATAAGGTGTACGTCTCCTGTAGGAGCGGTCACTGCACTAGCAGTGGTGCATAGTAAGGTGTATGTCTCCGGTAGGAGTGATCACTGCGCTTGCAGTAGTGTGTAATAAAGTGTGCGTCTCCCTCAGGAGCGGTCACTGCACTAGCAGTGGTGGTGCATAATAATAATAAGGTGTGGGTAATAAATTATTAAACTCCAGTGGTAGCGGACACTGTACTAGCAATAATAAATTTTAGTATGCAAAGTGTGTTTTGAATGAAGTGCCTTCTGAATTATCATTGACGGAATGTGTTGTGAGATGTGGTGGGATGGGCTGTAATGGATGTAAAATTTATCTTAGTGGGGTTTTTGAATAAGGGTTTGATGGGCTCTTCTAATGTGAAAGCGGTAAGATCGAATGTACCACTTAAAGGCCTGTGAGGACCAGCGTCCTAGTGTTTGAATCTGCTGCTCTGATAGACCATTTGGTGCTGCGGTGGTACCTGCGCCTATTCTGAAGGAATGGCTGGAGAAATTGTTGGCTGGGAAGCCAGACTTAATTAGGACTCATTTAACATGCTTTTGGAACCAAAAACGAGTGACTGGGCGATTGTTATCGTCTGTGAAGAGAGGGTCTGATAGGGAAGTGGCTTGTGATTTCCGAATTTGTGAAAATGCTAGCAATGTTTGGTATGGACAAATATGTGATTGAAGGTTGAAAATGTAGATTTAATGGCCTTGTTTTACTTGATAACTTTTGCTTGTTTAATGAGGAAAGAAATGGTTTCGTTATCCAGTGTTACTAGATCGGAAATGATGGGATGAAAGTTTGGGTTGAACCCAGATGTAATGGTGAGTTCTTAACACCTTAAAAATCTTAAAGAAGAAGGCTAAAATAAACATGGCATCGAGTGTACATGCTGTGTGGATTGATTTGTATCCTTTGCGAAGAGTGGATATGCATTAAGTGAGTGTTTTTCAGTGTTATGGCTTGTGGCGTGTTGTTGATGTGTGGGGCGGGTTCTTTGTATGCCTTTTAAGAGAAGAGCTGTTTGAGAATTAGCTATGTGAGGTGCAGGGAAACTGTGAATTAGTTTGTGGAAATATTGAATTTCACTCAAATAGCCTTTGATGGAATTGATCTGGAGTTTTTTGATAATAGTGAGGTAGGATATGTAAGATGACATGGTAAGTAGGGAAAAATCGGGAAACAGTATATTATAACATGCATGGAATGTTTTTAAGCTTTTCCATGCTGTTAAATATGACTGCAGGGTTAGGCACCACTGCTTGAAGGATAAAGTCAAGGGAGGCTTCAAGCAGGTTTTTTAAAGGATGATCTATGGGAATATCAGCTCTGAATAAGGAGGGACTTGGACTGGAAACTGATCCGCTTCTGGTGCCAAATGTCTGAATTTCAGGAAGGCAAAACGAGAGAGAGAATCAGCAATTTGGTTTTTGGACCCAGGAATGTGCTTTGCAGTTAAAATAAACTGGTCATATGCTGAGATCCAAGTTAGGCGTCTTAGTAGGGGAATTATTGCTAGTGAATTTGAACGGCCTTTATTTATGCAGTGAACAGTTGCTTCGTTGTCACAGGGAATTATAATGCAGGAAGCTGACCATTCTTTTCCCCATAGTTATGCAGTTATGACTAGTGGCTAGAGTTTGAATAGCACCAATGATTTTAGTGGTTGCGGCAGGTCTAACAGCTGGGGTGGCCAAGTGGACGCGAACCAGTGTCCTTGGTAATAACCTCCAAATCCGATAGACTGAGCAGCATCAGTGAATAAATTGATGTCTGCTGGGGAGGATATTAGGTTGCTGTAAAAAAAGGAGGGACCGTTCCATTGTTTGAGAAATAATATCCATAAACGGAGTTCAATTAGGCTACTGTCATTGATGGATATTTGATCCTCTAGACCGTGAGCTGAGGACGCGAGAAATGAGAAATGAACGAGCGGCCTTGGGGAATTATGCGCATTGCGAAATTCAAGTGGCCGAGAATTGATAATAGCTTGCGCTTAGAACAGGTCGGGCTGTCTAATAGGGAGGAAGCTACCAGGATCGTTCGATCAATTTTCTCTTTTGGTAGGGATGCTTGGACTAGAGATGGATTTGCTAGAGTCTAATTTAAAGCCTAATGGGAATCAATGGGAATCCCGAGTTCGGCAAAAAACTTTTGAACTGAGGTGCATGCCTGGGATAGCGTCGGGTGGTGAGATGATTAGAAAATCATCTGTTAGATGCATTAGGTGTGGGATTTTGTAGTTATTGGAAAGGATCCAGCAAATTGCTTCTGACAGCATGTAGAAAATCTTTGGACTACTTCTGCAGCCAAAAGTTAGGCGGGTGGAAAAATAATATTTTTTTCACCAAAGAATGTCGAAAAGGTGCCAAAAGTTGGGATGGATGGGCATGATTTTAAAGGCGGATGTTATGTCCATTTTAGCCATCCAAGCGCCGCAATTTTAACTAGTGAAATAGCTTGGTCGATGTCGTAATAGTTCATAGAGAACTCTCCGAGAGGGATGAGACTGTTGGTGCTAGGAAACGGAGAATTATGCGGGGAGGAAAGGTCGATTGTTAGGTGTTTTTTATCGGAAAATTTCCTAGTGGCTAACCCGATAGGACTAATGCGGTAAACGCTAAAAAGAGGTGCGGAGAAAGGGCCAATCATGAAATTTTCATCTACTTCTTTTATGATCAAAAGATCGACGACGTCGGGTTCGGTGAGAGCGGACTGAAGATTTGTACAAATAAGACTACAGGAGGGGAGGCAAATGACACCTGGATGAAAACCTGGAGACAGACCCGTTAAAAGAAATTCTGAAAATTTAGGATCGGGATGTTGGAACAATTCTGATCTTAGGCGAGAAACATTCACATGAGTTGATAGTTACTTTCTAGCATTTTTATTTACAGATTTTTTCACTGGACATATTATGCAGGCATGGGCACTGCCACAGAAATTGCAAACATGCAAAAATCGACATTTCTGTCTCCAGCACTTGACGCTATTGAAGCCAGTGCAGGGACAGAAGGGCAGTGATCAGAAAAGGAGGGGCGGAATGTTTTGGTTTGAAGGGACGTAACTGGTAGATCTGGGCTAGGCTGGTTCGGGAAGGGGGAGAAGGGACGGAAGTTTTGAATGGGCATGATTCAGTAAGGTGGGTGGTGGATCGGCAGGCCGCACAAGATACATTGTGGCAACCTAGAAAGACTTTATTATGGAGTTTTGTGTCTAAGGCTCCCCAGGATGGGGTCTGGTTCCATTGTGAAATGCGAATGGTGCACTTAGTGGTAAAATGGCGGTGGTAGGTATAAAAATGGGAGCCTCCGTATGAGAGCGCAAGCTCAGCAACTATCACAAGATAATCATTGAGCTTGCATCCCCTTTGAGGATAACGAAGCAAATGACATCAGAGTAGCATGAGAATGCTACGGTAAATCATGTGAACGATTGGATGCGGGACTGAATGTTAGCTGTGTTTTTTAGGGTTACTGAAAATTGGCTGCGATCTATCTAGTGGTCTGCCGATGCGGGTGGAATGGGTGAGAGGAGAGGGGAAAAAAATCAACATCTAAACCTGACAAGATTTGGCTTCACGCTACTGCTGGCCCTAGGATCACAGGTGGAAGGAAAAGAGAAGAGAGGAGGGGCTGCTGGTGTTAGTGATGTCAGCAGAGGCGGACTCACGCTGGAACTTGCATCGGGGCCTGAAAGAAAGTTGGAGGCTAGAGCTGTTTGCGGAGGCACGCTCGCACTACTGCTGGCCCAAGGATCACAGGTGGAAGGAAAAGAAGAGAGTGGAGGGGCTGCCGAAGTGACATCAGCGGAGACGGCCTCACGCTGGAACTTGCATCGGGCCTGAAAAAACCTGGGGAAGAAGAGGAGGAATTAGAGGAGCTGGGGTTTTAGCTTAGAGTGGAGGCGGCCTCACGCTCTCACTGCTTGTGGAAACTTGGATGGGGTGGGGAGGCAGATTATGAATTTTGGCCTGTGCTTCCTGTAGCGACCCTGCACTTGAGTTGGAAAGGGGGGCAGCGGGCCAAGGATGGAGTTGGGGATAGGCTTTTGGTGACGCTAGTGGAGGCAAGCTCACGCTATACTGGCAACTCAAGGGAGCGTGCTTAGAGCCGGTGTTGAGTCAAACTTCCAGTGATTGGGATCCTTCGTCATCTGGACCCGGGGCTCGCCCCAGACTTGCTGAAGGCCTGCTGCTCCGTTCGGGTCTGGAGGATGGGCTTGGATCTGGTCGCTGGTATGGATTGTGCCAAACCTGGCTGGATTTCATCATGGTTTTGGACGGTGGAGTAATGGAAGGAAGTGGTGCTGCGGATTGCAAGGAGCCAGAGGATCCGCCTTGGTGGTTCGGCGCGGAACGATGAT